TGGCAGCAGGGTCGACATACAACTTATGGCAAGCTATCTTGGGGTCGATGCCGGGTATGTCGGAAGGTGACCATGCAAATACGTTATGATTTTCCCTAAGGAAAACTGTGAGTTCCTATTTTTCTTTCCGGCTCAGGCGTGAGTCGATTTTAGCAGTGTTCTCCAGCTGCTGGGGATCAAGAATGATGTGCTCGGCATCCTCTTCGGGTTTCCATCCCATCTCATCTGCTGGCGCATTAATTTGGACACCATCTTCTTGATCTGACTGTTGTAATTGCTATTTGGTAGCTTCATCGTCCTTTGGACCTCGGTAGCTTCTATGGGGGTAAAGGTCTTCTTTTGTTAACTTCTTCAATACTTGCACAGTGCATCGTTGAGATGTGGTCTGGTCAAACTTGATTTCTCTCACTCTTCATTTCGGGATGCGGAATCAGATTTTTTGATACTTGAATGAGGTTACAACGTCCAACTTTATCAGCCAAGGTCTCCCTAGAAACCCATTGTAGGGAGACGGGTCACTTATTATCGTGAACATCTGCTTTGAGATAACTGGCGGTGTTCTCATGTCAAGTGTAATGTTGCCGATGACAGTCGAGGTATGTCCTTTGAATCCAATGAGCACCTCCACTCAGCGTATGATTGTGTTTTCCAGACCCATTTTTGAATTACTGGGAGTAGGTTGACCGCACTTCCACTGTCAACCATCATTCTATCAACTATAGCATGGGCTAGTTGGATAGATACCACTAGTGCATCGTCATGTGGAAAATCGACGCCTTCGGAATCCTACTCGGTGAAGCTAATAATGGGTCTAAGTTGGGTGTTGACTACTTGGACCTGTGAGACTAGTAGAGATTGTTGGATCTTCATCTTCTTGGAGTTATTGGTGACCCCTAAGTGCTCAGATTCAGCAAAAATGCCATTGGTTCAAATTGTCTTGGTTAATTGTTTTTTCATCGGCATCTGCATTCTTTCTAGGCTGTGCAGCTGGCTTGTCCAAGTATTTGTCGACCTTGCCTTCTTTCACGAGTTTTTCTAGGTAGTTTTTCCAAGTGTAGCAGTCGTCGGTTATGTGACCGGGACCTCGATGGAATGCGCAGTACTTGGTGTGGTCAAACTTGGAGGTATCCCCCATTGATTGTTTCGGCAGCTTGAATCAAGGTTCACTCTTAATGTCTTTGAGGGTTTTATGGATCGAGATTAAGAACTTAGAGTAGTTCTTGAGTGTTGATGCTTATTTAGTTGTGGATCAATCCCTATGCTTGGCCTCTTGCTTACTTTTGTTATTGTACTATTTATCATCCTCATTCTTTTGAGCTACTGTCGATTCTTTTCGAGGTTGCTCAGGTGCCTTGGTTGCTCGTCGAGCCCCATCTCAAAGTGCATGCTTCTCTGCCAAGGCGAAATAATTTGCCAGAGTTAGATCTTCTTTCATGATCAATTCACCGAACAGTGAGTGGTTTGCTGGGAGTCATTTTTGGAAGGCTGCACTAGCTATCGAGTCGTCGTATTTAATTATCTTTGCCTTCTCTGGTTTGAACCTCTTCACATAGTCGCGGAGCGATTCCTTTGGCTTCTTCTTGATGTTGAACAAATGATTGGACTTATTCTTGATCGAGCGGTACGATGAATATTCTTTGGTGAAAACCAAATAAAGTTCATCGAAACTCTGGATAGATTGTGGCGGCAAGGTATGAAACTAATCTTGTGCCTCGCCTTGTAGAGTAGTGGTGAATATCTTGAACATAAGAGCGTCATTGTTTCGATAAAGGACCATTGTGTTTCGGTAATGCTTAAGGTGCATCTCCGAGTCTCCATCTCATTTGAAGGATGTGAAGTGTGACATGCTGAACTTACGTGGAGGCTTTGCCTACTCGATCTCGTCCGTGAAGGGTGACCTGTTTATGTTGGTCATGTTTCACTGTAACGCTTTATCAATAACCTCGTTGCGTTGGAAATCGCACAATTGCTAGGTCATGAGCCTCTTTACTTCTTCCTGAATTTTTCTTTGTTAGGGTAGCGGATCTCTTGGCTGCCCCCGATTGTGACCTATTGGTCTAGGCTGCTCTATCATGTGCTCGGTTAGTCTAGGTTGCGGCTGCGATGTATGTGGTACGTTCTTAGCAGGTGAACAAATTTTTTGCAGGCTGCCAGTTGAACTTGAGCCGGATTGAGTGACTACTTCTCTTTGTTAGTCGTGCTACTTACTCTGCTATGAAGTGAAGGATGTTCCATGTGGGCCTAACTGCGAATGAACACTTTGCCTAGAAGGTTATTCATGATGATTATCGGATTGTGGCCCTAACCGTGAATGTATATTCATCTGTGGGCCTAGCCGAGAGTGCACGCTCCTCCGCATGCTAAGATGAGAATATACGCTACCTCGAGATCTAGTCGGGAGTGTACACTGCCCGAATGCTCGGTTCGTGGCTGGTCGAGGGGCTACTTACCAGAACATTGTTGGAGAGGTTCATCGTCAGCCCTTGTCCTACTTCGGGACACCTCATCTAGGGCACGTTGCATCTCGGTATGCTGCAAGAGCTGATTCACTGAGGTTATATGCTATGTGAGGGCATTTGTTAACTCTATGACTTGTCGAGACAAGTGTTGCCTTCCATTTGGGTTGGAAGAGCTTGGACGTTATGCGTCTCCTTAAGTAATGGAAGTGTAGTGGACTCTGGGCACGAGATTTGAGTTAGGTTATGTCAAATATGTGGAGAAGTGGGGTGAAAATATCTTTGGTTTAATCGTAGGTCCAGAAAACTGAAGTCGAGATGGTTGAACTGGTCTTGGACAGGTTTGGACTGGTTTGAGGGCTACGATAATGGGTTGCTCCGCGTGCGGCGCATGTGGGTGGTGGGTCTGGGCTTGCGCCAAGTCCTGGCTTGGGCCGACTTGCCTTGGGCTTGGGCCCGTATAGGCTAGAATGATGCAGCTTGGGCCCGTTGATCTTGGGCTTGGCCTTGGAGAGCAATGGGCTCGTGCTGGCCTTGGGCCCACGAGGTCTGGGCTATTCAATTGCTGCAGCTACTTGGCCTTATTGAATCTGGGCTAGCTACCTTGTGGCACGACTTGGGCCTGTTGCTACGAGGTGGCATACTCACTGTGGGCAGTGGGTTTGTCGAGGGTTGCTGTTGTGGTTGCTACCATGGTGGCTACCACGGTGGTGCCCCGTGAGGGTGGTGTCGCTCCACTCGTCATCGCATTGAGCCTTGTGAATCGCGTGGTCCAAATCCTTGAACGTAGGAAGTTTTGTTCGTTGTGGCTTCCGAATTTCTAGTCATTGTACTTTCCTTTTGTGTTTATTCAAAGAATTTTTATGAAAAAGTTCTAGGAACAATAACATACGAACTACAAAATGAGCAAGAAACAAGAAACGTTGAATGCGAGAGTCTTTTTCGAGCGTGTGAATCAAGAATCTCAATGAAAGCACCAATTTGTGGATGCAAATTTTTGCTGTCTTCTCATTTGATGAAAATGCACCTGCAAAATAATAACACCTAAGATTATGGCCAAAAGCCTCATATAGCCATGATGAATGGGGGGGCTTTGGCCAAAGAATCTTCGATGCCAAAGTTAGAATTTAAGAGAAAATGTGTTTGGGAATTTTTTGGAGAGAATGAACTTAACATTTTAGTAGGAAAAATGGTCTATTTATAGGGGTGTGGCCTGCCCTATTTGGAGAATAGGGTCCAGGCACTTTTAGTGAAATTAGGGATTTGATTGCAAGATATTATGTAATAATATATTGCAATTAATCTAGGCAATCAATCCTAATTTAAATAGGATAATTGGGAGTTATCTTTTGAAGTGGGGATTTGATGAGGAGTAATGAGAGAGATTTGAATAAATACCATTTTGATCACATTTGACTCCTCCTTGATTGAGCCGTTATTGTCTGTTGCATGCGTGTGGGAATCTCGGTGTGCCTTAAGGGTAATTTTGTCATTTTTTCTCAAAAGTCCACGTGTCGCCTCCATAATTTTCTTGATTATTTTTTGTTCCACATTCATTATATAGAAAGTGAAGTTGTTGACCATTTATTTTTTTTTAGAATTTTAATCTTGGCATAAACGGTTGGTATGGAACCGGCACACCTAGGTTAGATCAGTTGGTCACGGTAGTGTGCTCGCCTTTATGTAGATCAAAATAGTTTAGAATACTACATTGTTAAAAAAGAAAAAGGATGGTAAGCAAGCGTTATAGAAATAAGAAAAATGAGATAATTCATGAATGGAGAATGCCCACAGACTTGAATTACTACATACACATCGATGAGATAATTGATGAATTGAGTTCATTCAACAGCACTGAGCATAGGCGTTGGTTGGTATTGAGCTCAGCTTCTAAAAAACTTGAAGTAGATACCTAAGAGCTCTCTCCCTCAAGATTAACTAAGCTTTCTTCAGCCATTACAGAAGCTCGAAAAAGAACGACAACGGAAACAAAATAGGTAGAGACAGGTCAAGGATGACACTGCTTTGATACCATGTAGATTTTTAGTTTCAAAGTATTTCTATTTCATGAAAAGTTTTGAATGTACAAGACAATATATGTAGGCAAAGAAAGTAAACGATTACAGACAACTATCTTTACATGAATAAAGATAAGAAATGGTGCCCGACAAGGAAAAGAGAAAGTTGATGTGAAACAAGGAAAAGAAAGAGCCTTAAAACAAGGAAAAAAGAAATGGTGGTAAGGAAAAGAGAAAGTTGACGTGAAACAAGGAAAAGAGAAAGTTGATGTGAAACAAGGAAAAGAAAGAGCCTTAAAACAAGAAAAAAAGAAATGGTGGCAGGCAAGGAAAAAAAGAAAGGAAACTAACGAAAAACGCTTAAAAATTTTCAGTTTTAACTATAAGAATAAAATAAAAGGTAAAGTAAATAGTACAAGAATTGATTTTTTAGTATAAAAATGTGATTTTTTTATTAAAATGAACAATAAAAATGTGATTTTTTTATTAAAATGAACAATATTGAGAGTTTAAGTTAAAATTCCCAAAGAAAGAAAGCTGACTCGTTGGGGAAATTTTTCATCAGGACACGTACATCACACTGAAAAATTTCTCAAACTGGTTGCCTGGTTCCAACACAAACAAACCCACTAGTGAAGTATAATCCTCTTAACACACTCCATAAAAACTCAGAACCTGAAGTATAATCCTCTAACACACTCCAAACACTCCCTCTCTCTCTCCTCTCTCTCCTCTTTCTGTTCTTCGTTTACCACAGTTCCTGATCTCTGGAATGATCCACCGCCATGGCTCACCAAGCCGAATCGTCCGACTGGTGAGTCAACTCGCCACCATTAATTTTGTTTTACTTTTCACAATTTTTATATGTCGGAGTGTTTCCTTTCCGTTTTATTTGCGTAAATATTTAAATTCTGACTGGGGATTTGATTGTTTTGCAGGAAGAAGGAGGACTTGTGGACGGCAATTCTGGGGCGGAAGAAGTCGCCGAACCGTCTCGTCGTTGATGAGGCTGTAAACGACGATAACTCCATCGTTGCTATGCATCCCGAAACCATGGAAAAGCTACAGATTTTCCGTGGCGACATCATCCTCATCAAGGTACTGTTTTTTTATTTTTATTTTTATTTATTTATTTTTAAATCAGAAGATAAAATTTAGGGTAGCTTGTCAAATAAAGTTAAAATATCACGCTAGGGTTTTGTTGGGATGACGTTTTAGGGACATTTTTTGTTGTTGGATAATTTGTATGTTCTATGAAACAACATCGTTTAGATTGAGAATTGAGGTTGAATTGCAAATTTAGTTCGAACCCAGAATTGGGTTGCTTTGTACTCATTGGTTTGGAAGCTTATGTTTGAGAATTAATAAAAGAAGGAAAGTTATCACTTTTACTTAAGGGGAACCTGTTAGGTACATGGCATTGTGATGTAATAGATATTCGTTAATTGGATTTTGTCAACGAACTAGACCCAAGTGTTTTCGTGTCCTACTTTATTTGTATGACATTGTGTTTTTTTTTTTTTTGAATTTGCGGAGGTTTTGATTTACGGCTCATGTGTTTATTTAATTATCTATGATTGGGTTTTCAGGGGAAGAAACGAAAAGACACAATCTGCATTGCACTTGCTGATGACACCTGTAAAGAGACAAGAATCAAGATGAACAAGGTTGTCAGGTCGAATTTAAGGGTTCGACTTGGGGATGTTGTGTCTGTACATCAATGCCCTGATGTTAAGTATGGGAAGAGTGTTCACATTCTGCCTATTGATGACTCTATACAAGGAGTTACGGGAAATCTCTTTGATGCCTTTTTGAAACGTGAGTTGGTGACATCTTTGGTGGTCATTTGTTTTACTTCTAAAATATTTATCACTGTGGTTTACTTGTTACTTAGGCCCCATCCAAGACCTTCTACAATTTTTACTTTCCCAGGGTCAATGTGGTGATTGTTGGTCTAGGAACATATTATTGTGCTTTGCTCGTTTGTTTTTATTTCTCTATGTAGCCTCTTTCTAAGTGTTTATGATACATCTACATTAATTTATTTGGATTGCTTCCTACTCCATTTTAACTGTTCATGCCATTTCGTTGAAAAATGTAAGTTTGATGCAGATGATTTGCACTACCTTAGCATGCTGTCTGCCATTTTGTGTCGGATTAAATTTGTTTAGTTTTTTTCTTGAGGCTTGGACACTAAAACTTGGCTTGCTATATCCCTTTGTTTTGTTTGCAGCTTATTTCTTGGAAGCTTACCGCCCTGTGAGGAAAGGAGATCTGTTCCTTGTCAGAGAAAGAATGAGAAGTGTAGAGTTTAAGGTCATTGAAACAGACCCAAGAGAATATTGTGTGGTTGCCCCTGACACTGAGATCTTTTGTGAGGGTTTCCCCGTGAGAAGGGAGGATGAGGAAAGGTTGGATGAAGTTTGTTATGATGATGTGGGTGGTGTTAGGAAGCAAATAGCTCAAATCCTCAGTTGCGTTCTTCTTGAGCCTACCGTTTTTCCTGAAGAGGTTTTTTCTCCTAAGGAGCAGGCTTCAGTTGAAGAATGGGCATCGTGGCATGATGCCCTCAAAAAGCTCAAGCATAGTCTTGCCAATGAAGCTAGGGTGTTAAGTTCGGTTGAGGAACTGATTCCTTCTGGCGAGGCCTTTTCTTCCCAGGTTGACTTTAGGGGAGTGAAGGTTCGTTCTGGATTAGTTGAGGCGTTGAGCAAGTTCTTTGAGTGTGCTGATGATGCAGATGTGAGCTTGATAGGTTTATCTCCCTTTATGCGTGGGATGATCTTTGAAGAGCTTGGGCTTCTGCTTTACAATATGGAGCACACTTCCTCAATAGAACTCACAAAGCACAAACTGTTATGTTGGCGTGACATGATCAGCGATGTAGCCGCTTTGGGCGTGCCGGTGGGTTCTCTAATTGAGAGGCTGGAAGAGTTCCGCGATACCATGTTTGGACTTCAATTTGAAAGGAAAGGTGTCTTGGATCAATTCATTAAAGTCAACAAATTGATGCGTGCTCTCGAACTGCAACTTAAGGAACTAGAGGTTGAGAAGCTCAAATTAAAGAAGTTGGTTCGTGGAAGCTCCAAGGAAATAACAGTGTGCCTTCAGCTTGCAGCAAATCAGTTGCTTGTTGACACCTCTAGCAGTTCTTCTGAGATGTGGTGTTCTTAGCTTAACTCCTCACCTTCATATGACTGCGCGCTTTACCTAACTGTTTGCATTTTTCTAACCCTTGGCTTCTTTTTCTTGGCAGAGCATGAACCTTGAGATGTTGCTGCATCAGGCTATGAAGAAGATTGATTTCCTCACTCCACCTTTACTTTTATTTGTAATTTTCGTTTGGACAGCTAGCTTATGGCTTTTCGAACAATGGTCATAGGGTCACTTTGCTTTGTATTTTTCTTATTTTCCTTCGACTCTTTCCTTTGGTTTTGATGCTGATATTGATTGTATCATAATGCTTGCAATGTCTTTACTCTTCTTGCCATGATATTGGCTTTTTCATGCATGAGAGTTTGTTGGATGGACTTCTATTTAGCCTTTTAGACATAGGCTTGAGCTTTTGCCTGTTTTCTGGGGGAAATAGCTGATCCTGCCGCTTGGTACTTTGCCAGTGAGTTTCCCTGAGGAAAGAGGAAAAAGATGTCGTAGCATTCATAAGGAAGCAGAGCAAGTCAAGAAATCTTGACTTGCTTAGCATTAGGTTTTTCAATGTTAAGTTTGGCGTATTTCACATCAATAGGCTTAGGCATGTTGCATAAGTATAGCGTTTGGAAAAGCTTTAGTTGTTTGACTCAATGGTTTTTGCATGGCGTGTCGACTTGGCATGTTGCATGAGCATTGAACCATTGAGTAGCTTGCATGGCATTGATAGGCCTGGCATGTTGCATAAGTATAACTTTAGGAAAAGCTTAAGTATTCTAACTTAATGGTTTTGCATGGCATGTTGGCTTGGCATGTTATATGGTATTGATAGACTTGGTGTGGGCTTTTATTATAGCCTTGGTATGATTACTGCTATAGCTTGTTTAGAAGAAATCCTTCTAGTTACCTTTGCCAGTGTAAAGAAACAAATGTACCAAAGATTTTGACAAAATGCTCCTTGATTTCATTAAAATTTGGGGTACATCAATCATTGCATGGCTTTACAAGGCCTCATAGAGTAAGCAAACTAACCATTGCATAAAATGAGCTTGTTCTTCTAAGCGTGAGTGTTCTAACAGTAATACGACTTTAGTCACTTTGCATTGACACATTCCGTTAGCGTACTTTCCTTGACCGAAGTCAAGTAGTAGTAGCCATTTTGATAGGCTTCCTTGATCACAAAAGGCCCTTCCCAGTGTTGGATGAACTTTGAAGATCCGAAAATCTGCCTCCTTATGTGCTCCGCTGTCCTGAGGACGAGCTCTCATTCCTTGAAATTGCGTGGCTTGACTGTGCAGTTATAGGCTTTAGTAACTTATTGGTGGTATATGACTGCTTTCCTAGCTGCTTATGCCCTCTTTTCCTCGAGCAGCTCAAGATCCTTTCACCTTCAGCTTGCACATGCTGCAACATCTCATTCCACATCGTTGAATGTTGAAACTCTTGTCGTGGGCATCATCATTTCTACAAGGGAAATAGCTTCAAACCCATACACCAAAGAGTAGGGAGAGAAATTTGTAGCGTTCCTCGGGGACGTGCGATAGGCCCATAGGATGTCGGAAAGATGTGTGTTCCAGACCTTAGTGTAGTTGTGTACCATCTTGCTTAGGATTCTCAACAGTGTCTTGTTTATGGGTTCGACTTGACCGTTTCCCTGAAGATAATATAGCGTGGAGCAGTGGTGCTTGATCCCGTAAACATCAAGTGTGGCACTTACTTATTTGTTCAAAAAAGGCATGCCATTGTCACTTCCTATTTTGTAAGGTATACTGAATCAACAAACGATTCAATCCCTGATGATATTGGATACTACTGCTCCTGTTGCTTTCTTGAGAGGGATTGCCTCTACCAATTTTGTGAAATACTCAATGGCTACTAGGATCCATACATGGCCTTTAGAAGCTGGATTGATTGTTTCTATCAAATCAAGCCCTTAAGTGTGGAATGGCCATGGAGTACGCATGTCTTGTAGTAACGTTAGAGGCTTGTGGATTAAGTTTCCATGAACTTGGCATGAATGGCATTGCTTGACCATGTTGTGCATGTTTTCCCTCATGGTTGGCCAATAGTATCCCAGGCTCAGTAGCTGTTTGTGTAGTTTTTTTCTTCCTTGGTGCTCGCTCCATTCTCCAGCATGTACTTCTTGCATGACTTTTGAGGACTCGAATGGCCCAAGACATCTTAATGGTTCCCCATTGAATCTCTTCCAGTATAGAGTTGCCCCATCGACGAAGTACCTCTTGGTTGTCCCTTTCAACTTGCATGCATCCCTAACATTGCTTGGTAGTGTTCCATCAATAAAGAATGTCAGGTATGAGGACCTTCAATCATCAGTGATGGAAATAACAAATGCATTTTCTAGAGAAAATGTTCTACTGCATTTTGGACAATTGGCTTAGATGCATGTGGCTTGTTACTTCATCTCTGGCCAGTAGTACCCATTTAGTTGTAGTCGGGGATAGAGACTCACAACTTGGTCGACTCTGCATGTAGTCTCATGGATCTCGTGTAACCGTTCTTATGCTTCTTTTGGTCCAAGGCATCAGGTTAGCACTCATTTGGGCAGACACTTGTAGAGTGTCCTAGTAACATGGATTTACTCCTTAAGGCATTTGATGTTATGCTCTCTGTTTGGCTTGGAAGGTTCCCTTCTGACAATTTCCTTCCAATCGCCACCTTCTGGAGCTTCTTCTAGGAAGGATGCGTCAATGGCTGGGGCCTCTCTTCTGATTACAGCAATGTTGGGTTGTTCTTCGACGAAGGTAAGCTTGGAGCCAAATGTGGCTAGGGCATCCACATACTTGTTGGTTGTGCCGGGAATATATTCCAACACCATTTGTTTGAAGCTTGTCATGAGTTTCTCGGACATAATGCGATATGGTGCCATGGTTACTTCCTTCACCGTGAAGCTTCCCTGGACCTGGCTTAGGACCAAATTTGAATCCCCTATGACTTGTATCCTCATTGTGCCCATTTCCCTGGCTGTGGAAATGCCTATAATGAAAGCCTCATACTCAGCTACATTGTTTATACATGAAAAGATTAGCTTGAAGGCTAGGGCAGTAGCTTGGCTATCTGGATTGGCAAGTACAATACCAACTCTTCTTTTCGTGGTTGTGGAAGAAACATCGAAATGCATGACCCATGACTCATCTCCTACAGCGGCGGCATCTATATCTGGCAGCGTACTAGGGACTTCCTTGGAAATGGTGGTCTCTTATTCTTTGGGGAATAATGCTAACATGTCTACACAACTTGGCATTTGATAGCCTTAGGTGTCATACATATAATATCAAATTTGGAAAGTTGGAGCAACAAACAAGCTAAACGGCCAGACAATATAGGTCTAGTGAGCAAGTACCTTACTGGGTCAGACTTTACCATAAGGTGTAACTTGTGGGCTAGGAAATAGTGGCGTAGCTGCTGTGATGTGTAGACAAGAGCTAGGCAGAGGCGTTCTGTCTTCTTATAGGTGGTTTCGGCGCCTCTTAGTTGTCGGCTGACATGGTAAATTGGTGTTTTTTCCTCGGTTGGACTGTCCTGGGCAAGCAGGGCTCTTACGGCAGTGCTTGTTGCGGCTAAGTAGAGCTTGAGCGAAATGCTTGAGAATGGTGCCTTCATGGTAGGAAGGTTGGTGACTAGCTATTAGACCCGTTGATAAACTTATGTGCATTCCTTGGTCCACACGAATTCCTTCCCTTTCTTGAGCAGTGGGGTAAAGGCTCATGTTGCTGTTACTAATCCTGGGATAAAGCGGCGAATGTAGGACAACTTCCCCATTAAGCTGCTTTGCGTTTGTCGGGGGCATGAACGTTCAGATGGTGTGCACCTTGTCGATGTCACGTTGATGCACCAAGAAGCCCATGAACTTGCCTGAGGAAACACCAAAAGCTCATTTCTTAGGGTTTATCTTCAACCCATATGCTCGACATCTTCCTAGTACTTTCCTTAGCACTTCCCAGTGCCCTTCCCTGGTTTTGGATTTCACAACGAGACCATCCACAATCTTCCACTTCTTTCCCCATCATGTCGTGAAGGACTACCATCGTTGCTCCCTGATAGGTGGCACCTGCATTTTTTAGTCCAAATGGCATGACTGTGTAGTAAAAGTTTCCAAATGGCGTGTGGAAAACTGTCTTCTCAACATTTTTGGCAGACATCTTGATTTGATTATACCCACTGAAGCCATCCGTGAACGACATCAGGCCTTACCCTGAGGTTGAATCGATCATGATGTCCATGTTAGGCAGTGGAAACTTGTCTCTTGGGCATGCTGCATTGAGATCTCGGTAATCAATACAAATCTGGATTTGAATAGTGATGTTCTTTATTGGGATGATGTAGGCTAGCCAAAGAAGATGCTTGATAGGCTTGATGTATCTGGTTGCAAAGAGCTTTTCTACTTCAAATTTGATTTTAGCTTCTATTTATGGGTGGAAATTCCTCATTTGCTACCAGATGGGCTTGATCCCAAACTGTGTATTTAGCGTGTGACACACTAAGTTCGGGTCAAGGCCTGGCATCTCTTCATAGATCTAGGCAAATATGTCTTTGAACTCCTTTAGCAGGCTGACTAGTTCTTTCTTTTCCTCAACAGTTAAGTAAACACTAATAGAAATCAATTTTTTGCATAGAAGGATTGATAGGAGCATATTTATGCGACTTAGTTAGCTTGTTTCTTGGAATTTATGTTGTTAGTTCGTAGTTATTTTAGTATTTTAAGCTATTTTCGTGTGTTTGTAGGTCCAAAGGGTTAATGTGGCAAAGAAGTGCATTTTGGAGCATTTTTTGGCATGGAATGGATAACATATGCTTGGAGCAAAAGGAATGGACGAAATTTGAAGTTTGTGCATCATCCTCTCCCTATAAATAACCATTTTAGCACACTCATGTCACCCAACACATTCACCTACCACTACATCCACTCATTTCACCCAACACATCCACTCATTACAACCACCCAACACATTCACCTACCACTACATCCACTCATTTCACCCAACACATCCATTCACCTACCACTACATCCACTCATTTCACCCAACACATCCACTCATTATAACCACCCAACACATTCACCTACCACTACATCCACTCATTACCACCACCCAACACATTCACCTACCACTACATCCACTCATTACCACCACCCACTACATCCTCTCCCTAGCCTATAAATACATTCATCCACCCTTCACCATAAGAGACATATATCAATCCAAAACACACACACACATCATCTACACAATTCTCCACTCTTTGCCGCATTCAATACAACATTCATCCAAACACATCCATTCATCTTCACATCCATTCCTCCATACAAACAAACCTTCAAACACTCACCAACACCTTGTGCCATAG